ATATTAAAGTGTGTATTGAGTTCAGGTTCGTCTGTTCCCAACATGGGCCGCCTTTGCTACGATACAGAGTTACTTTGGTCCCTGGCTATCTACATTGAATTTCTTTGATCTAAACTTCCCTATATCGGAGTCTCTTTGCTCGATGAACGTATATACCCAATTCATCAGGTTCGAGTATCGGTATTCCGAGGTGTCCATTTACGTCCATCAACTCAAATACAGTTTGTCTAACCAGTTTAATATTGTCCATATCAATTTCCATACCAATTTGTATGGTATATTCAAAATTTAATTAAACTATTGATGTAATGTATCTGAATCAAATTAATTAATCACCGTAAATGATACTGAAATTGTATATAAAAGAATCTGAAATAGTTATAACTATCGTTGAATAGAATAATCAAAATGAAAGTTGGAATTCACTATTCCCTTTAAGCAACAGAATTCGTGCTATTAATTTGTCATCGAAGCAAATGAAATGCATACTGCAATCGACAGAGCACAATTCACGGAGCGGAATTAATGCGTCGCGCGAAATCTAAGTTTCGAGGCCTTTGTTGTTTAATTGCATTATAACGTTCCCACGTTAATAGATTTTACCTTCGACGTTTCATTTCGGGCTCGATCTTCATTTGCATGCGCGTTCGCGTATACGCGACGATCGAACGTGGTCAGGAATACATTTATTTTCTTCCCGTTCAGATTTACCGAGAATAATTCGCTCAAATCCGTGACAAATGTCGTGTTACACAAAACGTGAATGTATCTTTTAGAATCTTTATAGTGGTAAAATTTCTATCGATTAAATTTAATTAATTCATTATTGTAATGTTTATTAATACCCTGATGGCGAATGCTTTATTTGGGAAATGCTTCGGTATCTCATGGAATATATACACGTAATTTTCATGAAATTCGTGAAAAAAGGTCTTGATGGAAATTGAATGATCAATGATAGTGTTACACAGAAATATTAATAAGCATACGTTCAACTCGTTACAATGAAATTTCATTTGCACGTTATTTTCCGCGATCGCATAATAACTCACGGAGAAATTTTATCGGAGTAACTCCGTTGTACGCCGCCCATATTTATCTGACTGTTTGTTCAAAGCGTTTGGAAACGGTCCAATTTCAACAGCACCACAACATCGCAGATTTATGCAACCCGTTACGGGTCGCGTCTGTATTTTGTTAGTCTAGTTTGAAATTCTGATAAATGATTGCTCGATGGTACGTGAATACACTTCCTCTGTTTCTCGTTTATTTTTTTCCACTTTCAACAAGAATGGAAAAAAAGAGCGACACGTTTTCCTGTCGAAATACACGGAACCTATACGATATTTCTTCCGAGAAATAGTTACGGGAAATGTACTCGTAATACAGATAGAAATTTATAAAAGTTAATGCCAGATATTCGGCTTGTAACGCTTAAATCATGCGGATAGTTCGGGAAGCAACGGGCACAAATTATTCACTGACTTTGCGAAACGCTGGAAAACTTGTTAAATCCGTTTAAGGAAAACCATTCACGTCGAATTGGTCGGATAAACGGAAACGATGTAATGCACATTATTTTCAGACCGAATGGAATTTGTTGTACTGACTTTATGGAAATCTGCCTTAAGCATGGTTTACAATAGTAGAGTAAATAGTAAATAAAGAGTATTAGTAGAGGAGGTACGTTTATTATATTCTTATGTAAAGGAACGAGTGTTGAATAAATGCCTGCAATTCGTACTGCATCATTTTATCCGCAAACGTAACCCGTAGTTATTAAATTTGCAAAAACGTATCCCGTTCACTTCTTAAGGTGAAATGTTATACGAGAAAACGATATTGGTATTTCGGTTCGATTTCATTGATGCGAGAAGCATATGCATGAGACAGAAGCCACCACGGGGTCGTGTACGCTGCATCGTTGCGAATGACGTTTGCAGGCAGTTATCCAAATTTACATTTCATCGATACGACACCGGTAACTGGCTGTATATCTGAAGTAGTTTCACTCGAAACATGGTTAACCAAAACTCTCTCTGTCAGTGCTGTATCGTTCGACGAGTTTACACGAAGAACAACATCCGCTCGATCGATTCGATTCGATTTTACCTATGCAAATGAACCCAATTCAACCTCCGAAAAAATTCAATTTCGACTGGGAAAAAAAATACCTATTCTTTTGTTGACCTCAGTAATTAGAAAATATGTTCTTTTTCTCATTTATAAAATGTAGAAAACCTAAGAATTGAATATACGTAGTTGAAATGGAGAATGTAATTGAGATTTCCAATGGTAGAATAAAAGGAAGAAAACGGAAAGAAATGTCCGAGCGTGTTCGATAATTCGCAACACGCGGCACAAAGCCGAGCAATGCATGTTAAAACGCAGTGGGAATCGGTTTTCTAACGAGTTTCACCGCGGTTTGAAGCGTGCTCGTGCCTTTGAGCAGACACGAGCGATAACGGACACATCGAATTCGATTGGAAGCGTTATCGAGGCCGACTGGTAAAAGAGGCACTGTTTAATGAAAAGATTGAATGGCATAGCCCAGGCGATAGCTGTTTTTGTTAGTTTCTCGGCTTTACGCTTGTACCGAGCAACGAGATATTTTCTTGTCCTTCGGTACGATGCTGCCTCTTGCCGCAGTACGACGATGTCTCATCCATTTTAATTGCCTCTTTGAGAGACCTCGACCCGTTGTAAGGCGGCTACCGGTAAATAACGAGGCAATATACTCGAGATCTAATTGTATATTTCTCAATCCTAGCGAAACGTGGGAATGGAACGTTCAGGTTTTGCCTGCTAGAAATGAATTTCATCGGAAACAAATACTTGAATCGAAAAAGAGCAGAAGAATAAAGTACGAACGGAGACGAATAAAACTTTATTACTTTCTTCTTGAAATTTACTCCTTCTTTCATAACATCGAATCATTCCATTTTGAAAATTTGTCCGCGTGAAAATTCAAGAAAATTGTGGAACGAATTAAAATTCAAATACTCTTAGATTCATCAACCCAAACTTGACAATAATAAATCAGTTTCATAAATTATTTCCCACGTACAATGAGAAGAATACAACGAGCTAAGGCATCGATAAAGTTTCTCCATAGAAATTTAACAAATATCCTGTCCAGAACTAAAGTACTTCCCTTCTCGCCTCCATCCATTGAATCTCGAAGTTAAGCGAATATTTTAAAGTACAACCCGCGCAAAGTATCATCCATCAAAAGAAGAAAATCGTTTACAAACTGACAGACCCGACCGTTTCTCTTCAACGACCGTGACAGTGAAGAAATATAAAAACGTTCATTGATGGATGTAACGCGTTGCGTATACACAGCTACTAGTAGCTTCAATTTCAATGACTGAATCCTTCCGTATGTACACGTATACGTATGCATTTCTGCGTACGTTGCTATATGTGTATATACGTATAAGATAGCCGTATGTAGGAGAACGGTCATGTACAACTAGGGACAGTAACGTGGAAACTCCCTTAACAGTATTAACATTTCAGGGACGTGCTTGAACGGGATTCTGAGGACGCCGGAAACCGATCTGCTGAGGATTATATCAACCACAGGGGATGCTATCGAGACGACCACGGAAATTCGACCAATGGGTTCGTACGATTCAATTATTATTCCGAAATATCGGATTTATTCTAAACGCGTTTGGTACAAAGATATTAGAAATGAATCTCTGTCGTACGAAGAGTATAACCTAGGATAAGGTAGTCAAAATGGCTCGCGTACTGACTCGAAGAAGGTACGCTCGCTCTTCGCGTCTCTTCTTCCCTCGCAAAAGAGTTTCGTGAGTAAATGAAATTAGGAATCGCAGGAGGAAGGTTGTTTGGTTAAGCTCACCGCCCGATTATTTTAAACGGCATAGTCGCGCAGTCATCGTGAAAACGGGCGCGGCTTAAGCTGCAAATTAGTTTTCGTCGCGAAGTTCGCGACAATGCAACGAGGTTTTCCACCGTTAACACGGACGCGCGATCAAAGGATTCGAGCAAGGGAGAAACAGGCCCTCTTTATAAACTTGTTCCCTGTACAAGGTTTAAATTTCTATTTACTTTTACGCCGAAACTTTCTCGCTTCGAGCTTCGAACAAGCTAGTCGGCAACTTAGGAGGGCGGCATGGAAACGGTAAATGGCTTTTCCTTCACTTGACGTGGCGACTAAGGAGCCGCTATTATTTACGAAACTTTCCTCTCCTTATGTCTCTATCTTGTCGCTCTGATGGTTCCATTAACGAGAAGACGGTATGCAATAGCTTAAAAAGCTTCGAATAGCATTGTTCGTTTTCCTCATTCTTCTTTGCCTTACCTTCATTCCCGCACGATCCATTCTATATATTGCGTAAAAAAGTTTCTCTATTTTCTGGTAAATCACGTCGCATTTTCTCGATCGTGTAGTATTACACGGTACAGATACATCTTAACGAGAAACACATTTTATAGAGTCGTCGCGTTCTCGGGGAACATTTTAAGAGAGAAAAAAAGAAAAGAATCAGTACCGATTCGCTTCCATTTGCAGCGGAAACGCGAACGACGTCGACAACGCTGATAAATTCCCGTGGTAACAAAGAAAAGAAAAACATTTGCGTTTCTACGCAAGCAGAATTTATCCCCTAATGGATTTCATTCATTTCTCCTCTGAAACGTTCAAAGCTTCTTTTTTTTCTTAATATTTTACTTGAATTCAAGTAAACGACGTCGCAGGACACGATATTTCCTGAAAATGCGTTGATTTCTCAATCGAAAGAATGGAGAATTATTTTTATCCTCTACCCTTTTGGATCGTCTATATTAATGAAAAAGGGTTTAGTATTGCGAGAGTTGTTCATGGTGGATCAGTATATTTGAGGTACATATTGATCGCATCGATCGCGTGTTCCTAGAGGGAATCGAATTTCTGATGGCGGAGGTATATAACAACCGCGCCTGTTGGATAATTAGTTTGATCGAGCCTGAACGTTACGCCCATTGCTTACCTGGAGATTGGCCGGGCAATGATCGAGGAGTTCCAGCATGTGCCTGATGTTCTGCGCGTCCTGAATCACGAAGTTCAGTTCCATGTCAAATTCACCGCCCACCAGCTGCGAACAGAATAAATTGAATGTTATTAAATATGTCGTGCGGCTTACGGTTTCGTTCAAACGATTCCATTAAGTACGAGGCGTGTTGGAAAAGTTTCGCTCGGGTTAGCTGGAGCGGATAAGAAAAACTTTTGGGATCGTATTTTAGTCCGGAAATACGTAACATTCTAGTTATAGAATTTTCTTTATGAACTTCTGTTCACGACTGCCGAGTTAACGCGTTGATTGCTACGAGAGGTAATCAGTGTCTGATGGTACGAATTTCATTCAGTGAAAATAACGAAATTCTTTTTCATTCGAAAATACATTTTTGCGACAATATATTTCAGGTGAAAAAAATAGTGACAGCGTTAAATGACAAACGCACGGTTACATCGACGTATTCGGTAGTAAAATATTCGTGCGGTTTCGCGAGTGAAAAATTTATACGTTCCCGCGTGATCGACGCGATCACCAGAAACGATGACTTATATCGATACTGAAACTAATGCCAATAAATCGTTCAGAAGCCGAACAGTTTACGAAGCTGCGTGCGTGTTTGCGGTGTCTCCTTATTCTGCAACGGCTTACGTACAGCCGAACCGGAAACCCCGTCTCCACGGAGAGAGCGTAATTTCCGGCCAAGTATCTCGCTCTTTCCCTTCTTCCAAATACTTGCCCATGATATCGATCATGAATTGCTTATATCCCACCTTCGAACGTGAGCCGTGGTCACGAACAATTTTTACGACCATCGAACGATCATAAAAATTTATGGATAAGACCGGGTCGTTTATGGAATTGGAAAAAAAAAAGCGGTTAAGCATATTCGAAAACTGCGGAGGCATATTGAAACGGGAACGGAAGAGAGTTTTAGACGAGAAAAGCGGATTTGTTGCGATTTTCTTTTTTCTCTCTTGTACAAGAAAGCATGAAAAATATAAAATAATAGTATGATAAAGGAAGAATGATTTTTTATTAAATTTTTGAGGTCGTGCACGAAACACGGGGCAAGTAAGATTCAGACATCGGCCATATACTTCAAATATGGAATGGATATTGCCTGGCTGTTTCTTCTAGCACCCCATAGAGTACCTAGTACTCACCGTTCTCGCTGTCACATGGTCATAAGTACCCTTTCAGAGAAATAAATTTCAAGGAACCGTGGGTCGTTGTTATTGTTAGAAGAGAGCCGCTGCAACGATATCACGTTCGATGCTATGAACAATTTTGAGATGCGACCCATTCTTAGAACAGAGATCGTATGCCAGAGATCGGAAGAATAGCGAAGAAACGGTGAAAAATAGAAGGTTTGCCGGATATATCGATCTTTGGCCATTGCCAAAATGGACGCGACAAATAAGGGATGAAACGATATTTTACCAAGTATTCGACAAGATTTACTGTCGACAATCATAATAATTATTACTACTGACTAATATTGATTGTTATTCTTCTTCGAGGATTGGAATTAATAAATTAAGAAATGCTACTTTTTGAAACGCATACATGTTTTCAAACACATTTCATATAAATGTGAATCGAGAGTTTTTAGGGAGGAAAAGAAAATTCGATCAAAGCCAGTGATAGTCGAATCGGTGGAACAGACGACCGATAAATGACATTAGGGTTCGACTCCCAATCCAGCAATCCAATTCTTTTTCTCTTTGCGACACTAATGACTGACCGAAAATTCTATCTAACCCTATACGACGAACCAGGCCAAGAGAAAATCAGATTAGATGACCCTATTCACAAAAGTCTTTGAACATATTCCAGAGAAAAAGTAGTCCTCTTTTTTTTATATAAACGACAAATTCAAATAGACTTCATCAATATTTGTTATTCAAACCTTTGTTAATTTAGTCAGCAATTTGAAAATAGAACAGTATACATCTTTCACGATATCACAATGCGTTAGAACAGGAGATTCCTTTAAAAATAAAGGTAACATTTAGATACTTTGTTTGCAATGGTCCAGCGATTTACGTGCCGTCGCAAATTGATTGGTATAAAGCAAACAGAATCGAGAACGAGCGAATTGTTTTTTTACGCAAATAACGTAGACGAAATTTCCATAAACAACCAATCTACACGGTACACGAAGGGATCACTCTCCTAGGGGAGTAACCGGTTCGTCCTGTTAGAGCACACAAAACGGCTCGAAAGGAAACAAATAAACGGCCGGTGACTTACGATTTTCACGATCAATCGATATCGCAACACGATCGTATACAGACGTGTTCATGCAGGAAATTAGATCGCCCTGTGAACGATTCAACCGCGTTCGCATGGGAACTCACGGGAAAATGGAAGCGTAAGAGGAGGCAGAATGGGATTCGGTGAATTAGGGCTGGTCAACATAGCCAACCGCTAATTGGATACCACTTGCTTTTACACCTTCTATGTTTCTGCCAGTCGAGAACAGATAGTACGTGCTAAATTTGCTTATTCGCCAGTGGAAACGTTACACGCGAATAATTCAAGGACTTAGAGATAATTTTGTGAACACTTTTCCATCTACCATAGAAGAAATTTTATTAGTCCGATGTTTGATCATCCAAGGGGATTCTGTTTGCTCCGACGATGAGATGACTTAGGTTTTTGTCACGGTTCGAGAGATGAGGGTCAATACTGAAGAATAGACGGTGTTTTTAGAGCGATGGCTGTCGTTTATTCTGCTTTAGGAAAATTTGGAAAATTCATGAAACTGAAACCATGAAGAAAGAAAGCAAAACGAAATTCTTTGTGTATATTTGAAATAATAATAGCAACGGTAATAATCAATTATTCGAAAATAGGTTATGAAATTTAATGATTACATTACGTGATGTTAATTATAATTATATAACCAAATAGCATTTATCTTCATTTTGGTTTAGCGTGGTGTACAGGTTTCAAATTATGTTTTGAATAGAAACGGTGATCACTTTATAATCAAATATATGAAAAGAGCATAGTAAACAGGATATGTTCGTAAAATATTTACATATCAGAGCATAGCAAATAAATTTTGATTCGTTTATACCTGTGATCACAGTGAAAGGTGTTGATCGAGTTAGCGTAAAAGTGGTGCGAAGCTTGTTTGCACGGTTTGAAAGGTTTTCAATTGCCACTCAAGAATGCATTACGCGAAGGAGACTCTCCTCTTTCCTCCATCCTTGTGGCGCGTTGTAATTTTTTTTCTATTCCTGTTTTTTTCATTTGGTGCCAATTCTTCTATCACGTCTTAACAGCTTCACAAGGCATTATCTTTTCATCCGACAACAAATTATAACGAACCGAGAAACAATTATTTCACGTTCGACCGAATATCTCATAGGTAACTGAAATTTACGCGACTCGGTATTGGCATCTATTTACTTGCATTAATCCCTAATCGTTTCCAAACCGAATTGGCAGATAGCCACTAGCTAGTCAGTTGACGGCTGACCAATTTGATGAAATCCGTGAGATGTCAGACCCGAATCAATCTTCATCCTCGAGAGCAATTAGTGCTCATCGCGAATAGGTGCGCGCCTCTACCGTGGATCCATTTCATCGGACGTGTCTTGGTAGATTATGATTAACCGTTGTTAGAGCGTGAATGGAACAATTCATTCAGAAGCGATAAACTCCAAATCACTTTCTTTACTTTGATAAATAATTAACCGATTAGGCGTTGATTACGTCTGGAATAATTAAGATGCAATCCGAAGACAGCTACAAGGTTTTTAATTTTTATAATTTCTTATGACGTTCATACTTTCCAGAAAAATGGGAACAAAGTATTTGTTAATTTGATAAATTTCGAAATTGAATAAAAAGGTGACAAAGAAAATGATAAAATTTCGTTTTCTCCCGGATGTGTCGAAATGTAAGTTAGGTAAATTGAGGTAAAGAGGGTAGTATTATCTATCAGACAGGGTGCATTATGCACTGCTCCGGGGGAACAATGATACTTTTCCTCGCAGAGGGAACACAAGAAGACGAAGAAAAGAAACGAGAAGCTGGCTGATTGCACGCGGCCACGCAACCCTTGCCTCCTCTGGTTTTGTCTCTTTTTCTCAACGAGAGCCGTCCTCTTTCTTCGTCCAACATTCATATTTAAGCCACGTTCCTCCTAATTAGGCCGCCATCTTGACAAGCTCTAAATTCACAAGCGTTGTTCTCGTTGAGGCCAAGTCATGCTTTTGCCGCTCTGTCGACGAACGGTCCGCTGAATATCTGCTTTTGCCTACGGACTTTCCATTTTCTTCTTAATGCTGCACCCAAAAAGGCGCATTGTCTGCTCTCTCTATGACGATTCATTGCTTTAAATATTTCAAAGTGAAATGAAATGAAATTTAGAGGCGTACGATGTATAAATTTACGGTACGCTATAATTGCAGTTACTCGGAATACCTAAATTAATATGATATCAATGGTACTTAGAATTTCCTTTTAATTTTCATCGTAACAACACCCGTACAAGTTCGATGACTGTTAAATGGAAAAGGGTAATAAAGGTGGTAACGAGATCTCGAAATCACAAGTGCTTTAAGTATCTTTCTCGAATGCGCATCCAACAGAGGGTTAATGACGTTGCGCAACAACGTTTTAGCGCGACGGTGAAGGCTTGTTAATGAGCTTCGTCGTTAAGTACGAGCACGTTGAAAATCATTGTGTATCGACGTTTGTATTCGAGGCAACACGTAAGTATTGTCGTTGAAATACTCGCAAGAAGTCTGTTGCAATGTTTTCTCAATGACGATGAACCTCGCCGGGAGTATCAAAATTATCATTAAGTTCATTGTTTCAAAACCTACTTCTTGTCGCTTAGACACCTTTTACTTTCTTGTGCTTGGTTCCATTTGTCGACGACGTTACAATAGCAAAATTCGCGAAGAAGAAATTGTTGCTCAGTAGTTAGTGGAGGATACGTAATGCGTCGCGACGAGTGCGATGTACCATGAAGAGGAATACTCGAGTAGAATTGGACCACGATGGTCTGCCACGCAAGCATTCTGCCGCTTTCGAGTTCCGACTAATACGATCCTACG